GCTTCCACATAAGAAAATAGACGTTATTTAGGGGATCCCGCCACAGCAGTTTGGAGCTCATTTGTCTGTAAACTCAATCCATTAGTTTGCTACTTTGCTCTCTAACAGAGTGAGTCATCCTCAATTAATTACACCTTAATCACGTAATTAATTTCGTGAATCCCTTTTATATTATATCAAATCCGAGTTTTTAAATTTACACACAAACTTCTCCGACGAACCGTTATGGGTTGCTCCTCCTCCAAGCTCGACGGTTTACCTGCCGTTTCTCTCTGCCGTGACCGCTGTAACTCACTAGAGGAGACTCTCCGCCGCAGCTACGCTTTAGCCGACGCTCACTCCGCTTATTTCCTCTCTCTAACCACCGTCGGTCCATCTCTTCATAGATTCTTCGCTCAAGCCGTACAATCTCCGCCGGATGTTGAATCGGAAGAACCGCCGGATTCTTCTTCTTCTTCGCCGGAATCATCTTCCGATTGCGAGGAAGATGAAAGTACGAATTGCCATCTCTTTAGATGTCAAAAACTCAAAGCCCTGAATCCGAATGAACCTTCTGAATCGGTTTTCTACTCCCGGAATCAGAACGAATCCGGCACCGGAACGCCGCCTCCTCCGCCTCCGAGTAGTTACGGTTGGGATTTTATAAATTTCTTCGAGAGCTATGAGTTTCCGTACATTACGAATACTAAGGAGACCACTCCTTGTCCTTGTCTTGATCAAAATACTTTTACGAAGAAGAAGGTTCTTATGAAAAAAAATGTGAAAATCTCAGAGAAAATTAGTAAAAGTGCTCCGATAGAATCAAAGGATCAAAAAGTTTCATCTGATTTATCAGAAGTCACAAAGCAATTGGAGGAGATGTTCAAGAAAGCTTCAGAATCAGGGAATCATGTTTCGAAGATGTTCGACAATTCGAGGTTCAGATATTTCAAGAAAAGCTCTGTTTATCAAGGTTAAAGTTCAATCTCTCATGACCTTCTTCCCTTTTTGTCACTTTCTATTTTGTTTCTGATTCTGTATGGATTCGATCAGATTCTTCAAACATTCTCTACGCGAAGAAGATGACTCCTTTGGATCCCAAACCAGTGGAAGATTTTGGATCGAATAATCTTTCATCTACTCTGAAGAAACTGTTCATGTGGGAGAAGAAACTGTACCAAGAAGTAAAGGTAATTAATCAAGATTCTGAATGATTTAAGCCAAAGGCAAAACATTAAGTGTTTCTATTTTCTTAAGACTGTTGATTGTTATTTTACAGGCTGAGGAGAAACTCCGCACAGCTTACATGAAGTACTACAAACAATTGAGGAGATTGGAACACAAAAGTACAGATTTTAGCAAAATCGAAGCCACGATGCAGTGTTTGTCTACGAGAATGAGAGTCTCTATTCATAAGATTGACAATATATGTTGTACGATAAACAAGTTACGCGATGAACAGCTCTGGTCACAGATGAAAGAATTGATCCACAGGTACACTACTAAGCAACTACCATTAGTTTTTGTTTTGAGAATCATCTCATGAGTTATCTCAGCTTGTTGTGTCTCAATTTAGGTTGTCTGAGATGTGGAGCTCTATGCTAGAATGTCACAGTAGACAATCCCGTATAATCGCAGAGGTTAAGATGCTTGATAAGATGACATTAAAGGAAAAACTAGACATATCTCAGCTTGAGCTTGCTATGGAGTTTAAACTTGAGTTGAGGAACTGGAGCCAAAGCCTGTCTAATTGGACAAATGCTCAAGCTCAGTATGTTAAGGCCTTGAACACTTGGCTAATGCGTTGTATGAAGCAAGAACCTCAAGAACCAACACCAGATCTCTCAGAAGAGCCACCATTGTTTGGGGCTATTAACAGTTGGTCACAAACCCTAATTGATAGATTAGATGGAGAGAAAGAGTTTACGGAAGCGGTTTACGCGCTCTTGATGCACGTAAACCGTCAGGTGGAGAAACGGAGAATGGAATTGGAAGAGCAGAGGAATGTTAATGGCGGTGTAAAGGATATAGAGAGGAAACTTGTGTTGTTGGAGA